TATAACTAGTGTCATGCCCGTGCAATGCATGAATTGGTCTTTTTTTTAAAGTAACGTTAGTGTGTTGAGTTTTTAGGAAAAATCTTGTCATTTTGTAAATGTCCAGTTTTACCAAATATAGCAAATATGTCAATGATTTCACGGAATTATTCTTGACTTGTGCTTATTTCCCTGATTCAATGCATTTATCATAAAGTATTTGACAAAAACAAACAATTTCTATGAAAGATTGGACAGAAAATAATTAGAACGAATTTTCTAATTTTAAACCTTTAAAAAAAGAATCTAAAAAGTTGGCATACAGAAACACAACAAAACATAAGAAAACCACACCGGAAAAAAATAGTAAAATTTGATCTTCTATTAACTTGGTCATATGATAGCAGTTGCTCTTAGTAGTGAGTTCAAACGTATTACTACAATCATAATAAGTAATAAAAAGGAAAATATGGTACCACTGAAATTGAAGAATAGGAGATAATAGGAAACAATAGAATTCTCTTTCAGATTTTTCCTTCTCGATCATTTTTGATTTTTTGTTTCGACGTAGGGGTAGAGTAGCTATTGGTTACGCTAAGGAAGCAAGCGATTATGACTTTTACTGTTGAGTCACTCACGATAGAAAGTATGTTTCATTCCTTGTTTACCTGAATATACAAATAGTTGGAGGATTTAGGAAGTGAAGCAATCACTAAGTTCTGCTGGAAAATAGTATATAGTGTACAAGGAAATAGTCTAAATTTTAGGAGTGGGAAAGATTATGCATTTAAAAAGTTATACTTCATGGGATTGATGATCAAGAGATCATCTCCCATAATCTGTACTTGAGCTTCAGTTTCACCAATTAAACTGTGGGTCTCCAAATTTACTATCCCAAAACCAGCTCCACCAAATAAGAATGCTCCAAAGGCCAAGCAAACATAGCATAAGGCCTGCAAGATAAATGAACGGTTTTCTAAGAAAATGCATGTGTGAAAAAACAAATTTCTATGGTTTGAAATTAAAGCCGATGTAAAGTGAAACTATATTACTTTTCTAGGATCATTCGTTAGTGTATCCAGTATATCCTTAGATCCATCCCTACAAGTAGCAACAGGAAGAAGTGTCGAATTTTTCGACCCTGCAGCATCAAGTTCAATTAAAAATCCCGTCACATTCAAATAGGGATTCATATTCTGAATTTAATTCACCTGCTATAATCTTAGAGGCATATCTTAACAGTAGCGCGACAAGAGACCTAGAATTTTTCTGCACCACTTGGTGAAGGAGACCAATCTCTTGCAGTCCAAACTTCAAGAGAAGTTGTTCCTCTACACCACCTATTCCACTGAAAAGAGCGTCCAGGAGATTGTTTACAACGGCATACGAATCATGGTCAACAGAGAACTCCACGAGGTATTTGAAGTCATAATTTCCTTGGAGCTTGAAAAATAAAATCAAATGTCCTAATGAATAAATAATGAAATCTGGTTTAATTACATTCAACTAAACTCATAAGGAAGTAAAAAGACAAAAATGAGCATTGTTGTAGGCTCAACAACCAGAAATATGACGCACAAATACTGATCAATGTCAGCTGAATAGGCAATAAAAATTAAGACAATGAAGCATACAATAGATATCTATCGACCCAACTGTTCAATTTTACCACTAAATAGCTACCACCTACAGTTAAAAGTTTAACTAAAGATGAATTCAGTTTTCATCTGTCTAAGAAAACATTGGATAACAAAAGTTAATAGTTTGATCCAATACTATGAAGCTATAATCACCTAGGCAATAGTACAAGAAGCTATAATTAACAATAAAAATAGAGCTAACTTTCCTTATAAAAATAATCAATTGATAGACAAATGTGAATACTTGATGTTCTGTCCATTAAGCTTTGATCTTGACCATTGTTGAAGATTATTTTGTTTGCTGTGTCTAAGATTGCTCAACCAATTTGGATAAACTATGATACTTACTAATATAAATCAAAATTCAAGGACATCAACTGAGTTCAAAGTTTTATTACCGTTGGAAAAAATGTTAACCAACATTACTTTTGCACCAATTTTCATAATATAAACGTAAGTTGTCTATAACAGTGGCTTGGATGAATCTACATAATGTGCATAAGAATCTATATTAACTCAATGATACTATTGTTAGATAATAACGGGTAGCCTATAATTAAATACAATTGACAACGGAGGGTATGAAGAAAATTACACAGAGTTTTAATCAAGTGGTTAAAGGCTAATGTTTGTGCTCTAGCATCTATAAACAAATGCTTGCCCAGCTGTTCATAAATGATCGAGTTTTCTTAATTGGACAGAAATGATCAAATGCAATCCTTTTGGATAGGATAAATTTCTATTGAAATCACTAAATTGCAATCGAGTTTTCCTTTTTTAAAAGACTCACAAGAGCAAATTATTTTTATGTCGTTGAATCATTGGAAGTTATGTGATTCCACTATGATGTGTGCTCTTGTACTTTAACTTCGGACAACATACCTTCATAGAAGATTTTAAAAATGTCAAACCGAATAGGAACTTAACAACACTATCAATAGAAAAAAGGTTTAACTACTTCTGGGACGATACTAGGGAGAAGAGGGGATACATCGAGGTGGCTTCAATCATTCATATTTATTTACCTAAAATGAATAAGATTTCTTTTTGTAGGTAGAAGGATTAGGTAATTAACATTTCATTACTTTTTAGTCAACAATTATATTTTACTTCCATTTAATTCATTCCTAAAATTTACACCATTTCCAAATTTGAAGGGTAAGCAAACATAGCATGAGCCCAGTAAGATAATGAATGGTTTTCTAGGAAAATGCATGCGTGAAAGAACAACTTTCTATGGTTCTCTATGAATATTGAAAGTGATGAAAAGAGAAACTATCACATTTCTAGGATTATCCGTTAGCATATCCAATATATTGTTAGATGCATCCTTACCAGCAGCAACGTGAAGAAGCAACAGATTTCCCGACCCTACAGCATCAAATTTCAATTAAAAATTCGTTCATATTCAACCACGGATTCATTTTTAGAATTTAGTTCATCTACTATACTCTCAAGGGTGTATCTTAATAGTAGTGTTACAAGAGACCTAGAATTTTTCTGCACCGCTAAGTGAAGGAGGCCCATCTCTTTGAGTGCAAACTTTAAGAAAGGTTGCTAGCCTGCACCCACTGTTCCACTGAGAAGAGAGTCCAGGAGATTGTTTATAATGACATACAAATAATTGTCAATAGAGAACTCCATAAAGTACTTGAAATAATAACTTCCCTAAAGCATGAAAAATATTATCAAATGTCCTAATGAATAAATGGTGAAATATGGTTTGAAGTAATTAAATTCAACTAAACTCATAAGGAAGTATGAAGACAAAAATCAGCATTATCGCAGGCTTCTCCACCAGAAATATGATACATAAATATTGATTAATGTTAGCTGAATAAGAAATTGAAATTAAGACATTGAAGCATACAACAGATATCTATCGATCCAACTGTTCGGTTATAGTACTAAATAGCTACCTTCTACTGTTAAAAGTTTAAGTGAAGATGAATTAAGTTTTTATTTGTCTAGGAAAATATTGGACAGAACAAGTTAGTAGTTTGATCCAATACTTTGAAGCTATAATCACCTAAGTAATAGTACAAGAAACTATAATTACCAATTAAAATGGAGCCACCACTTTGCTTTGAGAAATGACCAGTTGATAGATAAACATCAATACTTCATGTTTTGTTCACAAAGCTTTGATCTTGACTACTGTTTAACATTGATTTGTTTGCGAGGTGTAAGATTCTCTTGAAGAATCTTTGCAGCACTAATAAGCATTACAACTTGTGCATCATGCCCATAAGCATGTATCTTTCGAGGATTCTTACTCTTGTGATTTTACTCCACCTTTTCCTACAGAATTTACAACTCTCGAACTCAAAAAAACAACAATAACATATTTAGGATTCCAATAATTTGTAACTCTGTCACAAATTCAGAACTTAATCTAAGCACAGAATATACAACTCTCAAATTCGATAAAACACCACTTTACACATTTAGGTTACAAAAAATATGTATCTCTTTTACAAATTCGCAACTTAATCTAAGAAAATGATCTCAAAATATTTTTCACATCAAACAATCAACATTAGATTTATATCGTTTTTCAAAAAGAATAAAAAAAGCAAAAAAGAAAAGAAAAATTCAAATTTCTTTTTCCAAAAAAGAGAGAATAAAAGTCCAACAATTTAAGTATAAATATTCACAAACCTGTATGGGAAGAGCATCCACATCTACCCTTATGGCAACAAAGAGATGCTTTCCTGAACCAATGGAGCCAGGGTATTTATAAGAAATCCCCGTCTTATCCAATTCTTTTCTGCTTGACATCATTATAGAAAATAAAATCCATAATAATAAACAAACATTCAAGAACTTAAATGAAATGTTCAGGTGAATTTACTGATTGCCAATTTTTTGTTGATATCCCGTGTTAGAATCAAAAGTGCAACTCCAGCTTTCAAATGTTGTTCCCTATTTTCGCTTTCGAAAGCAGTTATCTAAATTTCTATATTTACTTGTTCATTGAAGAAGATTGCATTGAAATAATTCAATTTAAGATTTTCTATATATGTACAAACGATAGATTTCCTTATATATAACATTTTTAGTGCATGTACTGTGTAAACTCGCGTTGCTTGATAGGTTAAGTAAAACTTTGAGGCACTTGCTTGTTTTAGCTCTAGACAATGCTATGTAAAGTTGGCCATAATAAAAAAAAAGTTCTGGAAGATATAAGCCAACAAAATCAAGTGTTTGCCCTTTTACTTTGTTTATTGTCATTGTAAAGCATAACCTAATTGGAAATTGAGTTCTTTTAAATGGAATTGAAAACTTATCACTTTCAAGTGGTATAAAAGGGATCCTTGGTAAGAAGACATGTTTTTCAAGATATTCACCAGACGTAATTTTTGCAAGAATTACATTCTTCTAAAATTTTCGATAAGTCAGTCGTGTTCCATTGTATAATCCTTCAGAAGGGTTGATATTCCGTAATAACATTACATGACAGTTTACTTTAAGGTTTAATTCATGTGGTGAAATATCATTTGAAGTCAGTCTACTGAGTAAATCTTCTTGCAAGCTCTGTTCTAATTTATCAATTGCTTTATCAAAGCTATAATACATAAAAATTTCACCAGGAATATGTTCTAATAATATCTTATTAATATGATCAACACACTCATTTCTAGGTGTAAGAATAGCTCGATTTGTCATCATGTGTAAATTGTTAGCATGAGCTTCTATATTTGGAAAGACGTGATGTATCAAATATTTTAAAGATGTAATTTCATTCTTAAATAGTACAATTATATTATTTGGAAGCTCGATACACTTACAAGTATGTTGTTTCTCTGTTCCATTTCCAATTATTAATAAGTAATCACAGAAATTAGGATCAAACTTTTCCCTCACATTCTCAGATAATGAAAGATGTAAAAGCGATGGCCATAATTTAGAGAAAACTAAGCTAGCTTTCATTATAATTTTTTTCCCTCTTGGTACCACTGGTAAAACTTGTCGAAAATCCCCTTTAAAAACTACCACTTTCCCACCAAAAGATAAGTTACAATCAGTAATAACTCTTAACATTTTATCCACAACTTCAATGTCACAACGATTGACCATGGGTGCCTCATCCCAAATGATTAATTTTGACATTTTCAACAAAGTTTCTAAAGTTGATTGTTTGTTGATCAGATAACTTACATCACCAAATAATTCTAAAGGAATTTTAAATCTTCAATGAGCAGTTCGACCTCCAGGTACGAGAGATGTAGATACTCCAGCATATGCAGTTACCAAAGCAATTAAATTTTGAGACCTCACAACAGCTAATAATGCTTTATAAAAAAAAGTTTTGCCCGTTCCTCCTGGTCCATCGATGACGAAGGCACCACTTAATCCTGATGATATTTTTTCCATTATCGTATTGTATGCAAATTGTTGTTTGTTATTTAACCTTGTCGCACAAGCATTACCTCCTTCAATATCCAAATTCAGTATCTCATCTTCAACTATTCTTCTCAATCTATCATTCTCGTTCATATTTACATTGTATGACACTATTTGATAGTCATTTATATTTTCTAAGATACAACTGATATTCTCTAGAGCCCGTACTTTAGCAACTTTTGAAGGTATTTTTTCATGTACATAATCATCAATCATATAACATTTGAATTTATCCCATAGAAGTTTCAGATTATTAGGGCTACAAAGCACAAGAAGTGTAACAAAGAGACGTCTCAAAGAAAAAGGCATTTCGTATAACTATAGATTCAGATATACATTCTTCATAATGATTATCTCCGCTTAACAAACCATGCAGAAGTGCTGTTTCACGGTAGGTAAGAACAGTGACTCCGTTCCTCCTGGACCATGCATATTATGTTTAATGATAACAGAATATAGATGGGGATATTTGTTTTCTTCAGGAATTTCATAGCAAACTATTCTATCAACTTCTTTGGCACAAGAAATTTTATATCTAGAATTGAAAATTAACAACAAATGAGTATGAGGAAGACCTCTTTTCTGAAATTCAATAACATATATATGTGCAACAACTGGGCCTAAAATACTTTCTTTGTATAAATTATGTTTCAACTCTTCTAATTTTGCTCTGGATATATGAACAATTAAGTCCGGCGCGATTTTGAACTTCATCATTGTTATATAGTTCCTGCTTAATTTCTAGTCAATTTGGATTACATGTTACAATTAAAAATATATCTGATTTTCCATAATGTTGTACATAGTTATTCCATCCATGTATCTCCTTAGCATATCACGAGGACCACATGTAAAAGATTGTGGTAAAACGAATTTTTGTCCAATTTTACACCCTCTTGTTTTCCTATTTTGAACACTATTTACAATACCTTGATAAAGTCCAGCACGAATTTGTTTTTGGTTATTACGATAATAATCTAATCTAACAGTTTCAATCTTAACATACAAGTCTACAATATATTGTTGCAATAACCTACCAGCATGAAGCAAAACAGACTTACGAGAAGACTTGATTTGTAATTTGTATGAATAATATTCTCGACATAAAACCTGAGTACGTTTGTTCGCTCCATTTAGTACTATATAATGAGAGAAAAAAAAAACTTCAATACTCATTTAGAACATTTATATTGCAAAAAATACATAACTATATAAAAGATACATTTGCAAACCTTGATTCTCATTTTAAATAAATTCAGCAGCAGAAATACTTGTGTTAAGGAGAGCATCAAATGTCGACATATGTTGAGGCTGAGAATATGTGCTTCTGTATCTTTGAATGCCTTCATGTCAATCGAATTCCCCATATAAAAAGAGTAATGGATATTGCAACGGATCATAACACCCATAATAATAATGAACTCTATGTCAATCACCAGAATGTCCATAGATAATAATATCACAAATATGAACATTAGCATTTTCATCATCTTCAACCCATATAGCAACTACTTGAGATACTGTAGAAGTATTGAAAACTTTTTGATCAAGTCCAGGATCGTATCGTATTTGTATTCGATGGTCATGCAAGTTCGTCATATCACTTAAAGACCTAAAGAATTTACTATATGGATTTGTTTACAAAATTTCAATTAAAACAATCAAAATAGGTTCGGTAATGATATTTTCATACGATTTTGAATTTCATTATCTGTATCGTAAAAATATAATTGTATATAAGAAGGCGTATTGTTTTGGGACACAAGTTGATTTATATAATGATGTGCTTGTCCTTAAATCCTAAATGTGTAAAAAACTTTATACGCTTTAAAGAGGTCTTTATCATATTTCACATCAATTGAAGTGAAAAAAAAATGGTTATTATATCCTTTTACAATTTTCTTGAATTCCATGCAGCTTAATTCTTTAGAAGTAAATAAATTATATAATTCACTTGGTGAGTCAGGTATTAAAATCTTGCTTTTTCCATCAAAACAACAAAAATCTTTAGTTTCTCTATAAAATTTACAGGCATTACAATGCTTACAATAGATGGGTGTTGGTAATATATAAGCGGTAGATGGCACGTTCAATCCATTAAGAGTTCCTTCTAATTCAAAATTACAAATATCATGTATTTGTTTATTTGAAGTAGAAGCATCAGGATTGTGATGCATTATAGATTCATGCAATTGGAGAACAACAAAAGAATTATTTCCCAAATTCATAGGCTAATTTATCCTTTTACGCTAATCAATACACCTAGTTCTAAGTCTTTTTTGCCGATCTCTTTCCCTTTGACTTTGTTGTTGGCGAATGGAGGTGTTGTATGAGTCCTTCCCACAATGAGATACAATGTCAATGTTCACAAAAGCAAGGTCTTCATGAGCGAATGTCTCTAAAATATCCATCGCAAGAATGGAAGAGACTATTGTATATTGAAACTGCAAGATAAGCAGTACAAACAAGAAAATGAAGCAAAAACTATTACAAAATTTGTTTCATATGCATGTAGGAAAGTAAACAATAGAACATGCAACAGTGCATATTGTGTAAAAATGTAATAATTACATGACATGAATTGCACTCTCTAAAAATACAACCCGTAGAATAAAAATTTGAACAAGAAGATTAACAATAACAAGGTGATTCTGAAAAATAAAATATTAACGTTGGACAAAAAATGATGAAAACAAATATTCAAGAAAGTAAAATGATGCATTTATAGAAATAGACGGAATTTAATCATTCGTTTCCATGTATTGGTTGCCTCTCTAATACTCTAATAGAATTCCTAAACAATTCTTTTCTTGGGAGCATAATTTTGTCATCCTTTCCGAAAGCCTAGATACATAATAGTACATTATTATCATATAAACTTAAACTAAAAGAAAAAGTTAAATAATCTTTTTATCACAACAATCTTTTTATGAAAAATCTACTTCTCTTTGAGATAATTGATAAATAAAAGCATAAGAAATAATAAAATGTATTCACTCCATAAATGTTCCTAAATAAAAAAATAAATTTAATAATTTAAGTGTAGAATGTGAGCGCATATGTCAATGCGCTCAAAATTCGTACAATCTGACAGTTTTTGAACTCTTTCCCATAGTTAGTCTTCTCATCCCATTCTTCTCACAGCAAGAAAACAAACAAGAATTAGACAATCAAAAAGCAAATCCAAAGTCACAAAAATCCAAATCCTTTCACTTAAACACCGTGAAATAAGATCAATAATTGATAAAAAAATCAAACCTTTTGAATTTGAATTCTTTGTTCAGAACCAAACCCGGAAAATGACTTTTCCAAGATTCTTCATTTTCCTTCTTTTGATTGCATTTGCACCTATTTTGATAAAACCCCATTGTGGAAATGCAAAATTGAGAGCATTAATGGACATAAAATCATCTTTGACCCAGAAAATAATTACTTGTCATCATGGGTCAGTGATGGGGATCCACGCAGTGGAAAATTTGAAGGTGTGGCATGTAATAAGCACAGGAAATGGCTAATATTTCACTGCAAAGTAAAGGGCTCACCGGAAAAGTGTTGTCGGAGGTGTCGGAGCTCAAGTGTTTGTCCGGTGACTATTTCGCACGAGATTTGTCCACTGACCATTTCGCACGAGAGAGAGAAAGTAAAATTAGGTTGAAGAGAAACAGTAGAGGCCCCATCGTTGCTTTTGTCCCAAGTTCGACAAGTCGGTAACACCAAATCGAACAACAAAGGGAGTCGGCTGCTGGTAGGGTTTCTTAAGCAATAGAATGAAAAATGAGGAAGATAGTGTAAAGCCAATTAGCAACAGGTTTAATGTGAACACTTCGCCACAGTAATGAACTCGTTCTCTCTTTTAAAGTGTAGGTAGATTTTTTTCACACGCTATTCATCAAGCTTGTTTTTCTACAGTGGACATTTTATCTCCTAAATGAAAGACGCTTTCCTCTCTCGACAACAAAACAAAACCCTACCTTTCAAAACTCCCTCCTCCCCGTTGCGATAAACGAAGAATAAATTACTATGGTATGTCTCCGATGATGTCGCCTGTCGGAGCGGAGATAGTGGGCACACTGGAGCCTACGGTTATGCTCAGTCTTAAAGATGCCACCAGTTGGGACGCACCAGTTTTTATTTCCAAACTCCTCCCAAATTCTCGAATATCAACTGTGTATGATTTAAATTCTGTATAAATTTTGATCATTGACCAGTAATTGTGCTTTCTTCTGCATTTGGGATTTATGTCGCAGGCCAATAAAGATAGAATATAACAATTTGCTGTGAGGAATACTTTATTTTCTTTGACTTTTCATTTTGTTGAATGAGGCTGAACCATTTAGAGCTAATTCAAGATTCTTCTTTCATCAAGATGCCTTTTTAATATTGTTTTGAGGTTTCGATTTTCATATATATAATTCCGTTTATACTTGAATAGATAAATGTTTGGCAAAATAGTTACTTTTTTAAGTAGAATAAAACATTCAAGTGACTAGAAGACCCATTATATTGTTTTAATACGTTAAAACAATGACTTGATAAAATATTGTTGTAGTTCTGATGACTTATCTGGAGTAAAAAGAGTGATTAAGTTGCTCTACCTTGTAAACATGCAAGTTACTTATTTTGCAGAAATCCTTACGTACTTTGAAAATATAATAACTATATATACTAAAAACTAATGTAATAACAAGTAACTTACAACTAAACCCAAACATGTTTGGCTATTAAGGTTACCTAGAAGTAAGATTTGCTTGCATTTAAGCTTAGTCAAACATGTTCAAAATGTTGAACGCTTACACAGGCAACAAACTTTGAAGTCATTGTATGGGCAAGTATTTTGTGTTTCTTCTTTTGCTTCTTTTACTAATATACAACTATATAATTTTTGGTAATTTTTGATTCTTCTTTTTGTCATGTCACTTAATGAGATCATTGTTTCTCTTCGATTTAAATGTTGTTAGGTATTTACAGTAGATTTAATTGTTTGGTTTTCCAATAGGTTCATATATTGTTGAGGGAGATTTTGACTTCTATACCTTTTTTGAAAACGAGAAAAGGATAAAGAAAGTGTATTTACAAAAGAAAATAAAAGAAAGGATTTTCAGCGCATTTTATTGATCGGATTTGATACTTGTTTGTTGATGATAATTGTTTCTTGTTCATGCTGTCTGAAGCTGTTAAGGAAGCAGGATTTGAGTTTCCTCCACTTGGTGAATATGTAGTGGGCATGTTTTCTTGCCCACTTCCGATAGTCGAAGGGAACAAAGAAAAATCGTATTCGCAAAGGTAGTACCAAGATCAAATCTTCTTCTCGCTGAATAGGATTTTGTTTTATAATTATGTGTAATATGTTATTCTTTGGTGTTAAATACTTTACAAGTCGTGGAATCGCTTAGGCACACCATCTCGACTGGCAACTTGTCCCCACTGATAACTTAGGTTTGGGCAAGTATGCTTTACAGACAGAGCCAATAATTGAGCAAGTGTTTCTTACACCTACTCCCAGGTCAAAGGTACATTTTGACCAATAGGTAGATACCAAGTGCTGGTAGTGCTAATTAATCCAGTTAAAAAGTTGACTATTAGATTTTGTACATTCAAAATTTGTGACTTGCTTTTCTTTTTTCCTTGCTTCCTTTCGGATGTACATATTAAGGATTAAGGAAGGTTTCTATGGTGGCTATCCGAGCTGCATTCAACCTGCAACATGGTAGTGTGAGAGATTTCTGTATATGTTCTCTTGGAGAGATTTGTTCCTTTTGAATGTGAGATATCTTTCTTTGCTGTGACTTTTCTAATTTAATTTTTTGATATGACTATTATCTACAAAGGTTAGTTGACGCCTAATGAGTTGAAGGAATACTACCACCCTGATCTTGGAAATGAAAGGTTAACAAGCTACATGGTCCTGGTAAATATATTATCTCTATTCTCCGTTTTATTTCTTTGCTCACCCACATTCAATGAACAACATTGGATTAACGAATTAACTGAAGCAATGCTAGGTTGAGGAGTGACTTCTGAGGCATTGAAGTATGAATGGTATTTTAAGTTCTTCAACACCCTTGATGTTATTTCACTTTGCTTGCTGGATTGGACTCTTTGGGTGATTTGGTAAGGAAATTCACTAAGAAGTAAATAATGCATGCATGAACTTGGTGCCTTGCTCTATGATCTGTTTGTAAGGATAAAAAAAAAAAAACCCATCTTAGTGGTAGAAATGAAATTGTGTTTGGTCTAGGTAGTCTAAGGTTCTCAATAGGGTTGTACTGGCGCTGCTGCATTAGTTTTAGAAGTGTCCTTAACACAACTGTCATTGAGTACATATTTTAAATCTTCTTTACATAAGTGGAATTGGGATTGAGTTATCTCTCTCTTTGAATTTTTTTCTAAGCTCATGTTTCATCAGCAGTAGCACCGTCAAGCTTTTCCCGTTTATTGGTATTTATCTGCTGTCGTAATCTGATTTGATGGTCCACACAATTATCCTATACCTGCAAATTGCATTACTTTTAATCTTATTACAGGTATTCTCCAACACATATTGCCACATATATGAACTACAGTCATGCATTTCTCTTTTAATTCTTAATCGCATGTTTGCGCATTATATGTTTTTGTTATGTGCACGTGAATAAAAGGTGTATATGAGTATATCCAGTATCAGTCAAGATAAATCAAATTTCTATATACTTGCTACATGATTTTTGTGTATATTATTTGTTATGAACCAATGAGTAAAATGTGCTCGTATGCAAATCTTGAATTGCGTAGTTGATTTGACTAAAGGAATTGGTGTAGATACTGTTGTTTTAATGGCTGCTAGAGCCTTTCAGTCGAAAAACCAAGATGCCTGCAATCATGGGGTTGTTGGCTGATCCTAAGAAGGTATGCATATTTTAATTACAAGCTTTGTTGGTGAGGTGTGCACCTCAAAGCATAAGCAATGATTTATGTTGAATATTGTCTTCTTGCTTATTGAGCAAATTTTTCTGAAACAAAGTGGTGGGAGAAAGAGACTGTCCTGGATTCAATTCCAGTATCACCAGCTGGGAAGTCTAAGAAGATCAGCATTGAGAGAAGACATACTTGTAACGGTTCTTGAAGGATGCAACCTTGAAGTTTCATTTGGTAACTTCTTATACTATTTGAGGTTGGCTAAATAATGGATCATATTATACATGTAATTGGTTTTATTGTTTTTATTCAAAGTTGTAAAGGGAGCCGTGCGCTTGTTGTCATTTTATATGTTGGATAAATTATCATTTCCGTGCCATTTGATTAGTTGCTACTTTATCTTTCTGCAATTTATAAATACTGGGCAACAAATATGTCCACAATTTTGTTTAGGCATTCTATTAATTTTTGAATGCTTTTTTATTTTTTATTTTTATCCAACTTGCAATGAGAACACAAAGAATGTGATGATTGCAGCATCTTATGTACACCTGAAGCACAAGGTTCGAGATAATAATGCTTTCGAGCTTTCAAATCTGAACCCCCAAAATCTTGCTTTCTGGTTGAGCAATTCTGTTTTTGTTTAGATATTTGTTTTCTCAATATCATTGAGTCTGCTAAATGCTTTATTGCTGCCATAGTTTGAACCTTGTAACATGTTTAATTTTCCTTTTTAGGATTTGATATATATTAGGAGATGCTAACAAAGGCACTTGCTCATTATTTTGGGACTAAATTGCTTTTATTTGACAGCCATTCATTTGTATGAGACCACGTGAACTTTTAAGACACTGTTAAAATATGTTTTGAGCTCTGTTTATTTAGTATGGTGAAGCAGATATCCTGGATTCTTCAAATTTTCCCCTTCGCTCAGAATTGCAGATAAAAATGAATGGCTAAGAAACCCTCAATTAAATATGGCAAGTTTCTTTGTGCTTTATTTTATAGAGGAATTTATTTTGCTCACAATGACTATTAAAAGAATTAACAATGGTTCTTTTACTTTTTCTTTGTCTCCACGTATTTCTATGTGTTGATAAATATTTAGGTGATAAGAGTAAAATTCATTGGTCCAGCTTCTGAAGTTTTGCATTTAACATCTGCCAGGTCTATTGTAATAACACACTTCTCTTTCTTTTTAAGTCTTTTTAATACAAACTTTTGTTGGTAATTGATGTAGGACTCAGGTTTTAGTTTAGTAAACATTCAATTCTTTGACGTTCCTTTTTCTTCATGCAAGTTTTAGGGTGGTGGTTTTAGTAGTAGATGTTTTCCTGCAGTAGTTTATATTAATTTCAAATTGCTTTAGTATCATGCCATTAATATGTATCTAGATGTGTTTTTCCTTGTTTTAAACTGAGGTTTCAATTTCTTGTTATGGCGAAAGCATGGAAAGTGCCCTGCGAGAATGTTTTAAATTTATACAGATCACCAAAATTCTAATTCATAGAGAAGGTGATAGATAATGGTGAGCTTGTTAGCAAGAAATCACTACCTTTTCCCTATATAATCCTGTTCTTTTTTCTAATTTCCCCCCTCCCTTTGTCATTAAAATGCCTCTTTTACAGTTGATCTACAAAAAATTGCCAAACGACATCTCAAATTGACATGCATTTTAATTAGATCCCATCTCGGGCACAAGTTAGCGACACGTATCTTGGAAAAAGTCTGTTTTATGAAGTGTTACTTGAGCTGGTAAAAAATTATGCTGTGAAAGACTTGATTACTTACTAGAAAAATACATGTTAGCTGGCGTTTTTGCTAACCGTTTCATATTTCACGTTCTGATCATAACTCCAACTTCAAGGAATTATGTCGTCGAAGCCATTTCTTTACTTAAAAAGAAGGGAGTACCTGAGTAGAATATCGTACTCCCTGAGCTCTTTGCAGCTTTTGTTTTCTTCTGTAAAATGTGCTCATTTCAACCATTAAATTACTTCTTCGATGTTAATAATCATATTATTTCACAATTCTTAGTATGTTTGTGAATTAAACTTGCTGAAAATTGGCTCATGAATTGATTTTCCTACATACAGCGTTAATGCAACTGTATAGTGCTTGCTAAAATAGGTTTCTGATTCAATAACCAATATGTTTCCTTTAATGCATTTAGTTGTTGAAAGTAAGGTAAATTTGGCTTATTTGTTTTGCTGTGAGTTTGATATATAATATATTCCAAGCAAAGCTTTCATCACTAAACCCAATAATATACTTATTATGTTTTGCTGCCAATGTTAATAATGAAGCATGTTTGGATCTTACTAATTTTAGTTATAAGTGAGGACAGAGAAACATTCTTTTTCCTCTCCTTATTTATTAATAAAATAAGCTTATAAGCCTTCCCAAACATGCTCCATTCTAATGATAGATTGGTCGTTGGTTTTCTTGTTCTTCTATTATAGTCTAACTTATTTCTTTTTGCTTTTATGTGGAGAAAAGGATAGATATAGAATAGGTCTCAGCTGGACAGACTTGTGTGTTTTCACACCATTTATCAAGCAATCATATTTGGAGCTTTTTAGTTGTACCTACATTTTGACTCAACCCTAATTTCTTCAACTTCATGGCGTGTGCTGAAATTACTGTGTCAATTCAACCCTTTCATGAGGCTGAGTTGACAGAATCAGGGTTCCCTTCCACCAGCAAAAAAGATTTACAACTAATTTTACCCTAAAAGCAAGGAAGATAATGTAGGATCGTATATTGCCTTTTCCTTTCTCACTATGAAGATTGCCTAGCACAGTATGAGCATTGAGAAGATACCTTCAATAGACAAATTGTGCACAAAATGAACGAAGGAAGACAATATAGTAGATAGTCTTTTCCTTTCTCACTGTGAAGATTGCCTAGCACACTATGAGCATTGAATAGATGAACTGTGCACAAAATGAACAAAAATATATAAAAATTGAGGAAGAGCTTTTTAATTTGAGGAATACATGACATTTATAACTTATAAAGTAGGACCTTTTCTATCAAATTTAGAGAAGACCTTTTGTATTTCATCTTTATAGAAGGCCTTTTAAAAATCCCTTGTTAGTTATTCTGAGTCTTGATATCAGCAGCAGTTTCATTATTTAACATACTTTTTCTATACTTTACATGGAGAGTGGTCGTGTTATCTAAGAATTTTTCCTAAATTATGTATTTGCATGAACTGGCAGGAAATGATGAAAATGGTTTCCACAATAGTGTGACAGAGAAGTAGGTTTGTCACAATGCACCTTTTTGACTTTTCCACTGCTGTTTGTTCCCTTTATTTTCGTAACGCTATTTTCAGTCTTTATAGCAAATTTTGGAACTGGTGCTAATGCTGGTAATGTAGTTTGTTATAATTACCTAAATCATTGCCAATATTCAAATCCTCTAGCAAAATATACAGGAACTCTAAAAATGAAAGTAAACAGTGTGCTTCTATCTGTTGAAAAATTTGAATTGAACTCCTACTAGGAATGCGGTGACTTATGAAGAATATGAACGACCTGTGCTTATTGTGTAATGGCCACATTAAGGTATTGGTAATAGAGGATTCACTCCAAAATATTTCAAAATAGTAATGGGGATAAGATATTTTGAGCTGAGTTTGTTGATTATTTTTCTTTATTAGAAGAGCTTGACTTACACAGTGGTCTTGTTACGTTTAGCTGCTATGTGTCTTTCTTCCATAAGGCAGTTATGGATACTGTAGCTAGAGTCAAGATGAAGAATGATGAAAAGTTAGTATTAATCATTTCAATCGAGAATTTTGTTACTGTCATATTCAATTTTAATTAATTTTCAGTTTCCTTTTATTTATAAAATTGACTTGACTTCTTTTGCAGTGGGTTGTAAATCCTTTAAGCTTCATCACATTTTCAATCTAGATAATGACAATGGAGCTGAAAAACTCCTACATTATAGATAGAAATTAAGGTAAATATTGAAATTTATTTATGAATCTCAACCTTCTCTATGATTTGCATTTTTCAAATGATGTTCACTAATATTTGACGTTCTGTTGCATGATAAATATGAAAAAGTCCATTCCAGTTTAGCAATAGCAAACATTGAATTGAAAATATTATAAATTCAACGGCGGAGAGTGCCATCCCGGTGATGCGGAGGATGAACTAACGGAGAGGAATACTTGCATATTAGAATTGTAAGTTGATGGTTTTGTTGTTTTGCGATCTTCTTTAATTAAAATAATGAAAGAAACTGATGGTTAATGCATTGGGATATATGATTTTTAGTTGAAATCGATCTTTCGTCAATTTTAATTGGTTATTTCTTTTTTTTTTTTTTTTTTTTTTTTTTTTTTTTTTTTTTTACTTGTATTTATTTTGTATAATAGGTTCAAAAGCCTAGCCTCCGATATTCAGTGCGCTGGCTTCAAGTCCAGACCTCCTCTGATCTTGTAAGCCTGTGTACAATATGTGTATCTTATGTAATTTCCTTGTGGATCAATATGCGTTTATTTGGTCTGGCTAGCATTCTGGTTTTTGCAAACTTAATTCTTAGTTGGCATGCTGGAATAGAGGTTTTGGAGCCTTCAGGCCTCTGTTGTACCAATAAAGCAAAATGGAAGGAAATGGAGAAATTTTTAAAAAATATATCTTTCAAATTTCTGCTATGCCCAATATATTTGGAAGATTCTGTAAATATGGGATTAATGAAAGGGAGGAAAGGAATGCTTAGAAGCAGTATTCTTTGTTTAATTACAATTGTAGAAGGGAAAGACTAAAAAAATCAGATATTCCAATTTTTAAAATTGTTTATTAGCTTAAAGCCAGCAGTTTTAGTCTTCCCGGTCTCATCCTCAAAACAGTGAAAATCTGAGATGATTTTATCCTCTACTTCCTTCTCTTGTTTTTGTTATGTAAAACTACCAATTAAGTGGGGATTGCCTTATCTATCGTCTTTTAGTTGAATTCTTCAATGTGTGTATTTTTACTTTTCAAACGGAAATTGATTCAAGTTTCATTTAGGGCTCCATTTTTCTATTTTTCTTACATATCTTGTGACTATCATGGAAAACCTTGTTAATCTATGCCATCTTTTGGAGGTATGGTGGGAACTTATGTTATTGCAAATCTTGGTGATTCCCGAGCTGTTTTGGGAACAAAGACTGAGAATGGAATAAAGGCTGTTCAGTTAACTACTGATTTCAAACCAGAAGTGCCTGGTAAAGATCCTTTGCAAATCCTATGTTGGACACACCATGTCTAGTAAGAATTCTTGAAACTGTTTGTAGCCTATTTGTTTATATCAAGAAAAAAGTTAGTTACAGGTAAATAAGTTTCTGTTTATATCAAGAAAACATAATTTACTTTTTCTACTTGTAACCAAACCGATTTTGGATGTCTTTAAATAACTCAAAACTAGGGCCTCAAAAAATTAAGAAACACCAATTTTTTCAACCTCTAATAAACGGTGTTATACCAAATGTCTTAAAATCAATGGGGCAAAAAAAAAATGCCTGGTAAAGATCCTTTGCAAATCCTATGTTGGACACACCATGTCTAGTAAGAATTCTTGAAACTGTTTGTAGCCTATTTGTTTATATCAAGAAAAAAGTTAGTTACAGGTAAATAAGTTTCTGTTTATATCAAGAAAACATAATTTACTTTTTCTACTTGTAACCAAACCGATTTTGGATGTCTTTAAATAACTCAAAACTAGGGCCTCAAAAAATTAAGAAACACCAATTTTTTCAACCTCTAATAAACGGTGTTATACCAAATGTCTTAAAATCGGGGAAAAAAAAAAAAAAAAAAAAACTGGCTAGCGCAACATGATTTAAAGCAGTATTATTAATAGTATTCAATAGTCACAGGGCTGGTCCTGAGGCCAGGCAGGTGAGGCCTCCGCCTCAGGCCCAAAATCCAGGGGGCCTCGGCCTCCTTTTTTTGAACAACGGCAGCCTAAAACTTCTCAAGCCCATAATCCATTATCTACACTCCAAATCCCTAATTCAAATCCTCGCCGTCTCTCTGGCACTTTTTCTCCTTCGAGTTCCAGAATCCCAGATTTCCTCTTCGCGGCTTGGCTAGTTGGCTTCGGTCAGTTCGCTGGAGCCTGGAGTCCCACTGGCCACTGTCTCAGACGCCCAGTGAGTTCAAACACCGAGCGGTCTCCTTCCCCCAACGCCCACAGGCCACAGCGTGATTTTTCAAACACTCTTTGTACCTGGGCTTCATCTGAGATCTGACGTATCGCTTCTGATTTCTGTCGAGTGGCTGGGCATTTTTGCTAGTGAGTTCAACTCTTTTACCGTTTACATTTAAGCATTTACTTATTATAATTTTGATGATTTAATTTTAATTGATAAATGGTCTTTTTTTAATTGAGACTAAGTATGAAGTAAATCAAATTGATTGCCCAATTTATTTTGTGTGATCTTCTTACTTTTCTACTCGGTGATTGTGTCAGGGGAATGATGGCTCGAAGATTTCTTCGCAAGGTAGAAGTTTTCGTGTCATAAATTATTTATTATTATTATTTTTTGGTATTTATTCCTGTGATTGAAGCCTTACGTTTTTTTTTTGGGTGCATTGAGATTGCTCGTACTACCGAGTACTTCTTTCCTAAGACCAAAGACACAAAAGCTAACGTTCTTGGTGACGAACCTCCTACATTCCCCATTGAGAGTGCTACCGAGTCGTTGAACTTTCCTGACACACAAGCTAGCGTTCTTGGTGACGAACCTCCTACATTCCCCATTGAGAGTGCTACCGAGTCGTTGAACTTTCCTGACACACAAGCTAGCGTTCTTGGTGACGAGCCTCCTACATTCGACTTGTTCGATCTCTTGGGCGAGCGCAATAAAGAAAAAAGCTGCTGATGGGTGCATAATGTTGTACAATTCAGCATGTGTACTTTAAAAAAACTGTTCTTGAGTTTGCGAAGTGAATAACAGGTATTCTTTGCCTTATATATAGTCTCAAAAACTTAAATTTAGACCGACAAATGATATTTTGTCGAGGTTAATATGAGTTGACTATATAATTTATTGTACATGGGGTACTTTCCTTGTTTCGCATTCTTGTGTATGTCATGAGGCCTGCAGAAGTAAATTAAAACTCCAGCTAAAGAACACTCGAAGTTAAAGCAACATTGAACATGGGTATTAGGAGGCAAGAAATTGAATAATTACATATCAGTGCTGTACTCCATTTGTTAACAATCTTTGTGAATGTAGTCGAGCCTGAGGACACTAGAATCTGTCTTACACGATCATCATCTACCCGTAAGAAAGCAACTGCCGTCTGTTCATTCTGCAGATTCCAAACCCCATCTCTGGTATTGCTGAAAGCCTCTCGAGCCATTCTAATCTTGGCAGTATACGAACTTCGAATCCGCACCTAAACATTAGGTGGTTGGTAACTAATGTTAAACATGAGCATGTGTACTATGTACATTATGTGAATGCAAGTATGGATTAAAAAGTAAAAGCAAAGAGGAAGAACAAGTTACACATACATGCTAATACATGCTAAAAAGTAAGTTCGGATTGTCTTTACTGTACACAGATACAAAGCTGTTCTCCCATTCAAGTGGGGTAATGCTTCTAGGAAGACGGTTCTTCATATCCCAGAAAACACTTCTACCAAGGTTTACTGAAGTACAGAAATTTGACAAAGAACAATTACACACCATTAAACATCAGGCTAACCGTCAGTTGAGAAAACAAATTGAGAAGAATTTATTATACATCATGGTGTTTGATAAAATAAAGAAAGATTTACCATCGTGCTTCATAAGTCTCATCCTGGCGTCTCTTGGCCAGCATTTCTTCTTGTTATAACCAACCATATTTTCATGGTTAGGATCAGGATGCTCAGTGAGATACCGCTGGATAAGGTCCCTAGCTTCTTCATGTGTGAAACGGAATAATATATGCACCTTGTCAATGTATCTGGAGTATAAACGAATTGGATGTCCTGTTTCTACCCTAGTATCATCATAAGTAATGAACTCGTTTGGCATCTGGGGTGGACCAGCAATTTCACTAGCTCGAGTCAAACCAAGCAGCAAAAGATCAAGGACGAGTCCATAGTACTGCACTACGAGACCATACGAGTTTGTGTGGCTCATGTCCTTGTAAGACAATACAAGGTTGTTCTTAGCAGTGACATAATCAGCAATATTATGGTCAAGAACCAATCGCAGAAGCCTGAAGAAACATCAGGTTAAATCAACACAAGAAGAAGATTTATATCTTGTCAAATGAATGTGAAATTAACGTCAATATGAGTGAAAGACTCACCTGTTAAGCATGGTCAGGTCAATCTTTTCAAAAAAATTCTCAAATTTGGTCTGAAGCATCACCACACACTGTCCTTCACTAGTGTCCCAAATGTCTCCAGCCTGGGTAATATGTGTTAGGATTTGGATTGTGCTATTGCTTTTGAAAATTCAGAGTGTAGTTCACGTCTTCTACCGTCTGAGCAAAAGGAGATCCTACGTTACAATCAACACTCTCATGGTTCCCTCCACAATGTTTGCATTTCGGTCCTACTATCTGGGCTACACTCATCTGATCTACCTTCTGCGATTTAATATGACAGAATGTAAACCATGTCCCACTCCACTTCCATCGGACACTCGACTCTCTTGCACTGATGGTGAACCCCTTTCTGACCCCACTCTTTATCGAAGCATGGTTGGTGGTCTTTAATACCTCACTTTCTCTCGTCCTGATATTTCTTTTGCGGTCAATCAAGTTTGTCAATTTATGCATAATCCCCGCACCACCCATTTACAAGTAGTAAAACGCATTTTTCGTTACGTTAAAGGCAGTATAGAACATGGCGTTGTGTTTCATCACTCTTCTGACCTCTCCCTTCGAACTTCGATTGGGCTGGCTCAGTTGATGATCATTGGTCTACGATTGGGGCATGCATCTTCCTTGGGCCCAATCTTCTTACACGGACGGCTAAGAAATAGACAACTGTCTCTCGCTCTAGTATGGAAGCTGAATATCAGGCCCTTGCCCATACAGCCGCGGAACTTCATTGGTTCAATTATCTATTTCGTGAACTTGGCATTTCACTCTCTTCCACTCCTTGCATATATGTCGATAATGTCTCAGCCATTCACTTGGCTGCCAATCCTGTGTTCCATGCTAGAACTCGCCACATTGAAATTGACTATCATTTTGTTCGGGAGCTCATCACTAGCAAAGCTCTCATCACACGCTATGTCCCGTCATCTCACCAACTTGCTGATTTCTTTACTAAAGGCCTCTCTCGTGTTCGGTTTATGTACCTACGGCCCAAGCTCAATCTCCGCATTGCTCCGTTAAACTTGAGGGAGGGTAAAGAGATTAACGTTCAGTAACCTATAGTTATGGACAACAGCTATGGACTATATTTGGACATATCTGTTGCGGAAGCTCTCTCAAAAGGATCTCCAAACGGTGGTTTTCCAGGCTCAGTCCAACGTACCTTTCTCTACCAACAACCAATCCAAACGGCTCCAAACCACAACCAATTGATTCACCTTGGTTGCTATACAATCTTACCCACGTAGGACAAGAAAGGATGATGATTTACCGCCACAAAGGCTAGGAGAAGACACCACAAAGGTATGCTATGAAAGAACCACCAATTGCACACGTTATACAAGCGTTCTGGACACTTCTGGACACCTTTTTCTCACACAAAAGGGGGGCAGCCGGGATTCACTAGTTTCTTCTCTCAAAATCACACAATCATCATCTCAAAGAGGCTAGGGTTATATTCATATATATACTCTAGGGTTAGGCTTTAAGTTGGGCCATTAAAGGGGTAAACGGGCCAAGATTCAAGCCATCTATAAGGAATACAATTAGGTCGGGTGTAGCTCATGGACTTGGTTGTTGGACTTATTTCATTCATCGGCCTATGCCTATGAAATAATATTAACCCACGTTAACATCATAGCCCAGGATTTATTGGGTATCAAAAAACCCAACAAATCTCCACCTTGATACCCAATAAATTTGCAAGCAATCAAAACACACAGTTAACACTTGCATAATCAAGGTAGCCAATAAAATTGGATCACAGACCTTACCTCGTGTTTCCAACTTGAAACACATACCATGCCTGCTCCATGTACTCACTGGGGCTAAGGTCAAAAACACCCAAGAAGAAGCAAATATTTAACAGTAAACAATCAAGAGCAAATACACATGCGATGACGATATACTATAGAATAACACACACAGATCTTTTCAGAAACACGTTCACATAGAACCATAGATTAACACCAAGTCAATCAAACCACGGTCAACCACATATGCAACACATGCATAAATGACCCTAAGAAAAGATCTCACCACACTTATCCTATCCCATTCCGTGTTGCTCACACCTCGAGAACACATATCTCCTCTCATCGCCCACCACGCTCACTAGAGAGATCACTCAACTCATGTCTAACTGGTGAGTCACAATAGATCCTAAGTTCATGGGATAATCCTCTATCTCCACATCACTTTTCCCAACCTACGTGGATAATGGGTCTCCACCTAACAGAAGTGATAGAAGTGTCTCTCTTACACTCCACCTGATCAGGGTCTTTTTCAAGATAAAGGATCCTAGACATTTGATCACATCTCCACTCGTGATCCAAATGTCACACTCTACATCCCTCAGTACAAACCACCATGTACCCGTAGGCATCTATACTCCACCTCACCAAAAGACACACAACACACTACTAATGCATCCTAACCCACTATGCATGCAAGCAATTACACCAAGTAATCCTAATGTCTCAAATTCATGCAAATGCACATATCAAACACATTGAAATGTAGCAGATAATCATGCAACAAAATTTAGACAATCACACACATGCAGAAAGGATCACACACAGATGCATATGCAGTGACTAGGTTTACACTCAATAAACCTCACTGGGGTCATAACTCGACCCCTCAACCAAATTCGTCTCACCTCTCATCTTTCCCTTCAGCTTATCTTTCTTCTTGGGACAGTCCCTAATAAAGTGTCCAGACTTACCACAACTGTAACACCTTTTACCACTAGACTTGTCTCGTCCCTTGCCCTTCTTCTTACTATCCTCATCACTTGAGTCACTACACGAATCACTACCGTCTTGAGTTCTACCCAAATTCACTTGCTTAAGCTTCATCCTACTCCTCATCATATGTAACTCGCCACTCCTCTTATCCTCTTTTTCAGCCTTAATCTCCATCTCCTTACTCCTAAGTGAGTCTATGACAATCTCGGGCGTTAAGGTATCCCTACCATACTTAATTGCATTCTTAACTTCCCTATATGAATCAGGCATGGAATTAAGCAGGATAATAGCCTTATACGTTTTAGATACCTCTTCATCACAGTTAACGATGTCTTGAACTAATTTGTTAAAGACATCCAGATTATCATCAAGATCCTTTGAAGGATCCATTTTAAAACTGAAAAATCGTTCGAGCAAGTACAATTTATTAGGAGTTGACTTAAGCAAATATAAGTCCTCCAACTTTTCCCAAAGTTGTTTTGTAGAATCCAGTTTTCCTACTTTTCTCAAAATAGTATCAGATAGGTGTAAAATAATTGAAGTGTATGCAAGTTCATCATACTCTTCTTTTTGTACTTCTGTTAAATTTGCAGGAAATTTGCCATCTATGGCCTTTGAAACTTTTTGTTGGACCAAAATACCATTCATCTTTTGTTGCCAAATTGAAAAATCCCCTTTCCCATTAAAAATTCCAACTCCAAAGCGTAAAGATATTTTTAAAAAACTAGAACAACCAAAAGCACAGATAGGTCACACAAAGTTATCCTACGGCCGCAATATACACCGTTCTAGATTCCCAGGGTTTCGTAAGATTCACGATCTTAGATCAAGGGAATGTTCGAACGGGTCAAGTCCAGGTGTTCTAACAGGAAAATCAATGCAACACGAAGGTATGTAAACAAAAGTTCGAATTTTCACACAACGAGCCTCACAAAGTGACTATATGACAGGTAAAGCACAAAATCAACTACCAACTTGCAATCAAAACTCAACACTTCACAAACAGAGCAAATAATTCCTAAATTTTCTAGCACAAGCAATGGTTGCCAAGCAATGACAACCCCCAATCCTAACGATCACCCCACACGATGATCTGCTAATGTTGAAATTTAAAACTAAGTTAAGCCAATATACCAGAGCGGACTATCTGAGTCTGTAAATTATGAGAGTTACGAATTTATCACTTTAGGACCACCACTATTCGTCCTAAAGTCTCTGGAAACTGCAGCAACCAAAAAATCACGATCGAGTCCCGAACGCTCGAAGAACAACGCTGTCCAGATTCTTCTGTGTACCCTGAAATAGAAAACTTTCAACACAAAAAATGTCAGAAATAATATAAGGAACAAACTGCCTGAAGAGACTATCGCCAAAAAACGATCCACGCGCCCTCACGCGCGTCTCCTTCCCTCTGCGCGTGGGCCTCACGCGCCACCACACGTGCCGGTCTGCAGGGTTCCCCTCCTCCTGCACGTCACGCCAGTGGTCTCCGTTTCTCTAAACTCCTTCTGGATTGATCAGAAAACACGAAAAACAGAGACTGATTTAAACAGTTTTTGGACAGTTTCTTCGATCTGATTTCTGCTGCGTTTCTGCCTATTTTCTGGACGATTTCTGGTAGATTTCACGAGCCAAAACCTTCACCTTGNGGGCCCACAAGAACTTTTTGAAAATGTAGCGACCGTTTTGGATTGAACTCACCACTTCTTCATGACGTACGTGGGATTTTGGCAATTTTTCGAAAGAATGAGCACTTGCATATCTAGAACGCTTGGAGAGTCGACGGACGAAGAATTGAGCGTAACTTTGGTACACGGTGTCCATTTTGGGCCCACAAGAACTTTTTGGAAATGTAGCGACCGTTTGGGATTTAACTCACCACTTCATCGTGACGTATGAGGGATTTCGTCCATTTTTCAAAACAATGAGCACTTGCAATTTGGAACGATTGGATTGTCAGCGTACGAAGAATTGAGCGTAACTTTTGCACACGGTGTCCGCTTTGGGCCCATAAGAACTTTTTGGAAATGTAGCGACCGTTTTGGATTGAACTCACCACTTCATCGTGACGTACGAGGGATTTTGGCCATTTTTTGAAAGAATGATCGCTTGTATATTTAGAACGCTTGGAGAGTCGGCGGACGAAGAATTGAGCGTAACTTTGGCACACGGTGTCCGTTTTGGGCCCA